AACATCTACAGGGCGTGCATCTTCACGGTTTCGATAAGCCTTATGAGCTGTACACTGTCGCTCGAAGGCGCAGCGTCTCGTCGCGCTAGTGAAGATCACAAGCCCCTTTACACTTGTGATCTGCACAAGGATGCGATCCAAAATTTCAGGTCTCTTAGCGAAGGGCAAACATCGCCTTCTAACAAAAGGAAACATTCAGCTACACAGCAAAGCAATGCGTGTGACGTAACATATCCGTTCACGGGCTCCGTTCACGGAGCCGAACATAGCTAATTCCAAGCCTTTGATCGGAGCAGACGGCACCGCTGTAGTAGTGGCTGTGTCGCTCTGCCTTACTGACCAAGACTCCATCAGGGCTTCTCCGAGACAAGGTTGCACATCCTTCGCGAAGACCCTGCCAATGACCTAGAAGGCCTGTAAATCATGCCCCATTTTGGAGCCCGAAATCTAGGTGCCTAGTCAGCTTCCAGAACAAGACCCTTTATTACAGGGCGCAACATTCTCCTTGGCTGCAGCGTGTAAGAACACCTGAGCTGGGCGTGGCCTCATTCCGAGCTCTGCTCAGCCACTTATGCTTGTTAGTTGGATTAACGGACCAGATACAATCGCTCGTAGCGGCGAAAAATGAGGCGCGTATGGATGCCTTATTTGAGGATGGAACACCCCACGCCGAGGAACACCCAACACAGTCTTTAACTACACAACGTTGACCTCCAACTTCATCTCTCAGTCTGTGACTGCACCGTACCTAGCAAAACCAGAATTATCCAGCCAGCAATCGCAAATCTTACCCACCGCCCAAGATGACAACAAACCCTTCCATGCTTGATGTTGACGTGGAACCGCCAACGTATGACAACACCGTCAGCGACTCAAGGGCACAGCTCAGCTGTGGAGAGACACCAACCTTGTTCCTGGATAAAACGACAATCTTCGCCCATACTTCACCACCTCGCGCGCTCTATGAGCTGAGCAACGTTGTGACCGACGCAAAGTCATTGGTGTATGGAGTTCAGAAAGTGGGATACAGAGTCTCATCAGAAGCTGGCAGCGACAAAGTGAGAACGAGATTGGACCACATCTACGACTTCACACAGGACCCACTGAAGGGACTTGAAAGTTTCAGCGTGCAACTGAACGACGTCACAGTTATTCAGGGTCAGATGAGCTCCAAGAGAACGTATAAGGAAGTCTACCTGATGCCCGGCGTCTCTGGGTGGAAGGTGAAGGATCACTTCAAAGCCGGGGACAGCGCGGTGCACCAGATAAAGCACCAAGATGAGATCCATTGGAAAAACATGAAGGGAGAAGTTGTCGCTATTGAGTCAGTCGCAAAACGAGATAAGGAGAAGAAGCTGTTGGGCATGCCCCAGTTGGATGTCATACTCCCCATGGACCACAAAGAGTTGGACTTATTGGTGACAAGCTGGATGGCGAGGCTCTGGAGACAGTCAGCTGATGAAACCAAGGATCCCATGACCTGGAAAGACTGTAAGTGTTCTAATCTCCTACATCGTTTATCGCTTGAAATTTCTGCACAATCACATACTAATTTGTGCATGCACGCAGTCAAGGAGATTTCCAAGATCGCGCTTAGCAGAAACAAGTTCGGAAACACTTGGGCGCTAGGTGGAGCCTGAGGGTCGTTCTTGTAGGGCAGACTGGATAACTAAAGTACCCGAAGTACTTGCTTACGCAGCGACGTTAGTGGATAGGTCAGGAGCAGCGTAAAGATACCCTTGATTTCGAGCACAGCGATGTTATAACAACGAAAGACCTATGGAGATGGAACGTTTCTAAGGATTTGATATCAAGGGGCGCCTCACTCATCTTTTAGATTAATAAACCTCAGTGCAACAACGTATCTTAAGCCTGGATCTTACACCTGGTCGTGGCTGTTGTTCGCCAATCGTCGACATGAAATCGTTCCTCCTCGCACCCGGTTGTAGTTCCGATTCCAGACTTATCACTTCCTTGCGGGCGCAACGAATCGGCCTGAAAGGTAGAGAGATGAAGTGAAGTCCTGATATTATTCAAGGGCTTGTGCAGTGATTGAGTATAAATCTACCCAAGTTGTTGCACCTCAAGGGTCGCTTGAAGGCCGGCGTAGGTGGTTGGCAAGGATCCTGCTCCACATTTGGTGGTAAGGTGAACCAAATAAGGAAACTTATGCCAGCCATGATGATATATCAGTACGCATCCATGAAGTACGCATCAGTCGGATATCGTATTCCTCACGACGCGCCTAGTCTCTCAGCAAGACCTTAAACAAGAAAGAATCCCTGATGGCAGCCGCTAAGCACGTGGCCTGACTGTGCGGGGCAGTGGGAAGCGCTCAATGCAGTTGGTGATCATACGATAACCCGACTGCCATTATTTCCGCAGTGATACCGACACACTTTCTGGACCGGGAACTTTGGGACGACAAAGTAACGCCACAAGAGGAGAAAGCACAGTACGTCGTCACTTACCGGGCTTCCGTTCGTCCAGCCTCTAACTACATAAATGCGACTCCCCATCTTCAAGCTTCCGCTTCATGTTCCCACCCATCACTTTGATTACCAGAAGTCATAATTCTTTTTGAACAATACTCGATAGCAACACTTACACCTACCACCATGAGAGCTGCAAGATATTACGGCAAGGAAGACATCAGGATCGAACAGGTTCCAGAGCCATCATGTGGCCCTAATCAGATCAAAGTGAGATTTCCCCAGTGTATCATCCTAAGTACATGGTCCGCCCGGCATCTACCCCGCGCGGGGGAGATGTAGGGACTGTAGCATTGCTTTTGGAGTTCAGACTTGACACTGACACGCATTTCGCCTCTTCCCCAGATTGCCCCGGCATTCGTCGGTATCTGCGGGACTGATCTCCACGAATACCTCGGTGGCCCCAACTTCTGCCCCTCCTCTAAGCATCCCGTCACAGGCGACCAAATTCCGGTGACGCTCGGCCACGAGTTCTCTGGCATCATCAAGGAGATAGGCTCAGATGTCAAGCAGGAGCATCTCAAAATCGGCCTCCCTTGCGCTGTGCAGCCCACGATTTACTGCGGCAAGTGTGCGGCCTGCAAAGCCGGTGCCGAGAATGCATGCCACACCGGCGGCTTCATCGGACTCAGCGGCGGGGGTGGCGGCTTGAGTGAGGCGGTGTCGGTGCCCGCGGATCAGGTCTTCCCTTTGCCCGAGGGCATCCCTCTCGAGCTTGGTGCCTTGGTGGAGCCGCTTTCGGTAGCTTGGCATGCCGTCTCTGCCACTACCGTCACACCCGAGTCCAACGTTTTGGTGATGGGAGGAGGACCGATAGGGCTGGCTGCTGTCTTGTGTTTGAAGGCGAAGGGAGTTACGAATATCATGGTTGCAGAAATTGCCACGGCCCGGCAAAGATTCGCGAAGGAGTTTGGAGCAGCGCATATCATTGATCCTAAGAGCCAAGACGTTATGGAGGAGGTGATGAATATTACTGGTGGCATTGGCGCTGATGTCACACTTGACTGCGCAGGCGTACCGGCTAGGTGTGTGGTGTATCGGTTTACCTTTTGATCCCTTGCTAACACTTGGAATAGCGTGAAAGCTGCGTGCATGGCCGTCAAGACACGCGGCACGGTTGTCAATGTCGCAATCTGGGAGAAGGAAATCCCCTTCAACCCGAATTGGGTAACGTGGAGAGAAAGCTCGTATAAGTCGGTACTTGGATATCAGAAAAAGGATTATCAGGCCGTGATTGAGAACTTGAGAACAGGTAAGGAATCTCATTCACTCCGATTACGCGAACCGTTACTTACTTAGTGGTTTTCAGGAGCCCTCAAGCCTGCCTCCATGATCACGAGGAAGATTCCTTTGGACGATCTTGTAGAGCATGGTATCAAGGCGTTGATTACGGATAAGGACAACCAAGTAAAAGTTTTGGTTGATGTTGGCGCTTCTCTATGAGATGTTATGGCACGGCATTACAAGTTGAGATTGCGAGAGCCTTCGGAGGGGGATATCCACTAATGCTTTTCCGCTATGCTTGTACTAGGTATTTGGATCGTATCAATTGATGATAATGAAATCTGTCTCATGAACCCTGCTTCTCTATTTATTGCAGAAGCAGCCACACTTGCCTTCAGCCCCGTTCACGCTCCGAAGCACAAATCCAGCTCCGCACTGTCCTCTATGTCAGCACGCGTTCCGCGACAACCTTACTGCGCGTCTTTGCATGTGGGAAAGTCACTTACCTCACGCGGGCAAGCCGTCGTGCAAACTCCCCCGATGCCTCTGCACGCAGCATTCGAGAGCTGTCGGGTACGTTGAAGAGTTAGGGCCAGTGTTCAGAGTAACCATAAGCTTACGTTGTTATTGGCAAAGGCTCTGTAGTATGCCTTCTGGGCAGCTGCCTGACCAACCAGAGCCATGAGAAGAATCACCGGCCAAATTCCTCTCTCCCATCATGGATACGGAAGAAGATATCAAGGACCTACCCGACTTGACACCATCATGTCCTCAATCAACTTGACGAAGCTGCCGGAGCTGACAGACGCCGCAGCTAGAGAAAATAACCTCAATCAACCTGTCACATCGCCGTTGGACACTGAGCTAGCTTTGCTACTCGCTCAAGGTTCATCTTTTAGTATGACTAAGGCACTCGAGAGATCGTTTGGAAAACCTCGATTGTGAGTGTGTGAAGCCTTACACTGCATCAGCCACGAAAGCCAACACCCAACCTCAATTCACCTGCAATATAGTAGAATTATCTTTCGGATACGAACACATACGACCACACCCATTGGAAAATTCGGGATCCCGTCCGCTCTCCCATAGACAAGCCAATGAGGGCCAGATCAGTAGTTGAGTCGGTGACGATCAGCGAATACCTGGTGTTGTATGTTTTTGATTTTTATCCCATAAGGTTTACAATGATATGGCACTTCCTTGGCTGACCACCTTAGCCCGTGGCCGGAAATTCTTAAATGGATAGATCACACGGACTTTTGTTGATTCTTCTTATGAATAAGAAATATGTTGGCTTCTGTTGCCTGGAGAAGGAGGTAGAAGCTCATGAGCGTGATGGTGGATCCCATATTTGCCATTAGTGCGACTCACGTAGTCACCGTGCATTTTATTCCTGGCGTATTCCAGCCTAATTCAGGAAAGAAGATCCCAATTACTGCAGGTTTTACCTGTTAAAGTTTAAGTCTTTCCAATTTCTCTTTAGGGCGACTTTTTCCTTCCTCGTTTCCATCTCTGATGGATGACTTTGGCCAGATGAAAGACAAGGTGAAGGAGGCCGTGCCGATCTTTCTCAACACTAATACACTACAGGAACTCAAATTAGATTGTGGCATCCACATCGCAGAATCGGTGACACCGACAAGCACGCCGCGCTTTCCACGGATGCCCGTCCCAACCACAGGTTCAACTGTATAAGAAGGTAGCTCCTAATACATGGAGGTTGTAGAGCTTCTTATGGCGAACTTACACCAGCGTTTCTGTTCAACGACAAAGAAAGACGGAAACCAAATTCGACTTCTACTGTAGTATTGATCAGAGGATTGGGGAATTTTCGATATTTGATTGTGTGAAGAATCATTCGACGTTGTTGGGTTGAGCGCTGTCGAGAAGCTCCGAAACGCGCTACGTGGCACTAGCACGATCTACCGCGTGGCGTCTCTGCGCACGTCCCGACGCGATGGATCTCGAGCCAGATTCGACGTCCATCACCGTTGCGAGGGAGGCGGTGGCAGCGAGCGACGAGGACCTGCCATCACGAAGGGTGCGAAAGCCATCCGCGAAAGCCCAACTGAACCAGACTCATCAAGAGATAATCGACAATGCGACCGACGGAGCGACGGAGGTTGCTGGTGGTGGCCGGCGGACGACGACCAAGCGAGCCACAACCCTGGCCAAGGAACGCGCGAAACCCATAGAGGATGACGACAAAGGGCTGCTCCTGACGATGGGCAAGCAGGTCAAAGAGCTACACACAGCGGTCAAGATCATGTTCGATGCGTGGAAGAAGTCGGAAGCACGGAATAAAAACGTTGAGGCAGAGCTTCGCGTGGTCACTTCGGAGCTGCAAACAGTCAAGAGCGAGCTACAGGCCGTCAAAGGAGAGCTGCAAGCGATGAAAGAACGCGTGGAGGACGAAAGCGCCAAGACGAACGAAAACCTCGAAGCACTCGCAACAGTTGCTGCGACGCGGAACAGCCCAAGTGTGTCCTACGCGGACGTCGCGCGAAGCGGCTTAGGTGGGCAAGGTCGCGACTCGCGGGTAGCCACGGCGGGCAACGCGACGCTGCCGAGCCGCAGCGACCCCTTCTGTACGATCGATACATCAAGAGTTGAAGAAGGCAGCGACAAGCTCAACCCAGGCCGGATCCGGGCTGCGGTGGAAAAGGAGATGCGCGCGTTGGACGGACAGGGTAGCTGGCGGTGTCTGGCCGTCACGGTAGACCCAAGGAACGCGGATAGGATCCGGATCATTTGTCGCGACGATGCGGAGCATAGGTATGTCAAGCAGATCGCGGAGAAGAGCTTCGGCCGTGGAGCACGCGTGCTACGAGACGAACTCTATCCCGTGAAGATCGACAACGTGAAGCGAATTGAGGTACTGGATGAGAAGGGCAATGTCAGGGCTGAAGCGGCGGAGGCACTTAGCCGAGAAAACGAGACCACGGTTGCCAAGATTTCTTGGCTTAGCAAGAAAGAGATACCCAAGGCGTATGGGTCCATGGTCGTGTTCGTGACCAAGGCCGGTGATGCGCGTAGACTGATCTCCGAGGGCTTCTTCCACGTTGGAGGAGAGTCCGGCACGACGATGGCGTTTGAACGGCGGCCGCGCCCCCAGCAGTGCTACAACTGCCAGCAGATCACGAAGCACAAGGCGTACCAGTGCGTAAACCCCCGGGTGTGTGGACGATGCGCCAAGGTAGGCCACCACCACTCTGAATGCCGTGAGACGATCGTGACATGTGTGCCCTGTGGCGGACCGCACGAGTCGTTCAGCAAGAACTGTCCGAAGCTGTATCCGCGTTCCCATGAGTAGGAAGGTCCAGATCCTTCAGCTCAACGTGAGGAAACAGGCTGCAGTGCACGAAAGTCTGATGAATGATGAGGCGTTGCGCGACTTCACGGCCATAGCGGTGCAGGAGCCATGGGCGCGGAGGATAGAAGGTAAGGTCATTACGGTTCCGATGGGCAATAGCAGGTGGACGAGGATGGTACCAACGGAGTGGAGGGACGAAGGAAGATGGGGAATCAGGAGTTTGCTTTGGGTGAACAGAGACGTAGAGACAGAGCAGCTGCCGATAGCGTCCTCGGATATCACTGCGGCCATCGTCCGGCTTCCGGATCGAAGACTGATAGTGGCGTCGGTGTACGTGCCGGTGCAGAGGCCGGAGATGCTGCGGCAGGCGTGCGACCTGCTGAGACAAGCTATCACGAATGTCGAGGAGGAACAGGGGAGAGGGTGGACGTGGTTCTGGTAGGAGACTTCAACTGCCACGACTACCTGTGGGGAGGTGACGATGTGTCGGAGGGCCGGCAGGGCGAGGCGGACCCGATCATCGATCTAATGAGCCGAGTACTCGCTCCGCAGCTCTTCCGCGTGGCACGAAGACGTGGGAAAGAACGATGCGGCAACGACGATCGACCTATCCCTCGCGTCCGAAGAGCTAGCAAGAACGGTGGTACGATGCGGCCTGCACGAGACGGACCACGGGTCGGACCACCGGGCGATCGAGACGACCTTCGACATCGCCGCGCCTGAGATGGAAAGCCGGCCACGGCTCCTCCTCAAGAACGCCCCATGGAAGCAAATCAATGAGAGAGTAGAAGCAAACCTAGGGCGAATGCCAACAGGAGGTACGGTGCAGCAACAGACGGATCGACTGATGTCTGTGGTGTGCGAGGCAGTAGAGGCACTGACACCTACGGCCAAGCCATCACCGTATGCAAAGAGATGGTGGACGGCTGACCTCACCCAGCTCCGGCAGATCCATACCCACTGGAGAAACCGGGCGAGAGCGGAGAGAAGGGCAGGTAACAGTCAACCTGAACTGGAGCAACGCGCACGCTCGGCAGCCAAGCAATATCACGATGCCATCCGACAACAGAAGAAGAGCCATTGGGAGGACTTTCTGGCCGACGACGCCAATATCTGGAAGGCCGCGAAGTATCTCGACGCCAGTAAAGGGGCATCTTTCGACAAGATACCTCAACTTAAAAGGGCGGATGGTTCCCAAACGGGAGACGCCGCAGAACAGGCCGAAGAGCTGCTCTCCACATTTTTCCCTCCTCTCCCCAGCATGATCGAGGAGGAGGGGGATCGGCCACAACGATCGCCGGTACCCTTCCCTAACCTCACACTGGGAGAAGTAGAGAGACAGCTCT